GGCACTCTATTTGCTGATATCACGAATATTAGATTATAGAAAATGAGAACTAAAGGTGTCCAATTGTGTCTCAAGGAAAATTGCTGAAAAATTCGAAAATATTGTAAGCTCCAATACTGGCATGAAATTTAAAACTTGGTAATATATTAATCCAAAATTTGGTCAAACATATAGGTAAAAAACTTATATAAATAATATCTGATAATTTGATTTGCATCAAACACTCCTCAAACCACTTTCTATGGCAGTTTTTGGCTAAAATTCTATTTGTTTGAAATCAGAATTTGTACCATAAGATATTTGATTCTAATTTTTGTTACAATTTCAACAGCTTTGCCCTTTAAAAATAAACTGGAAAAAATACATTTCTGCTCTCATGTTCTCCAGAATTCTGCAAAAGTATTGGATTTGAAGTACCTTCATCTGAAACACATCATATACTAGAAATTGAATAAATTTACCCATTGACCCTAACATTGATAGTTTGTTTTAATATTTCCTCGTATTCTGAAATTTCAAACTCTTTGTGCAGAATAAAGTTATACCTACTGTCCACCAAGTTTTTGCAAATCCTTGATATATCTATTGTTTCAAACCTGCTATGTCATTAACTATTACGTTGAACAATTCAAATAGTGTGTTATTATATTGCCTTGCCTGTAATAAACTTGTCCCGTTCTTTGTTTTAACTTTTGCACACTACCATTTCGTATGCAAGAATGTGCCGACTTTTGTTCAAGTACAAATCTCATTTCACTCTGCAGTATAATAACTTTATGTACTATGCAATGAAAATGCATAACTAATTTGATTCACTCAAATTTTGCTCTTGCACATTCAGAACAATGATGCAATTATACATGGAAAAGGAAAAAATTCCTTGAAAATAACTATAACTTAAATAAAATGAACTATAAGTTGTGGACATATCTTTCTGTTTTTGGTACCCATCAATTTGAAATTTTATCTTAAAATAACTAAATAGATTTCATTGGCAAATATCTTTAATTCGATTTTTGACGTAATTGAACTTTTTCCGCTATTCTGAACTTACTTGAGATCAAATTATGCTAAAAATGCATTTAGCAAAGAGATTCTCAGCCAATAAAAACGGTTAAAATTAATGATTTTACTGCTTCTACCCACATTTTGGCAACTTATGCACGCTTAAAATGGAACGTTACATAAAAACTTAGTTATTTGAAATGCAAGTATACATTTAGGAGAAATTTTAGAAAATCAAACTAAATATAATTAGAAATCCATCATATATCTACTGTTTCATTCTATCTTATTTGATCGACTGTACACGTTCAATATGTATTGAATTTAATTATATAATAAGACATGTGCGACAAGTGCATTATATTGCAAAATTATTAGAAAGCTAGTTTATTGTACTTTGAATTATTGAACTAACTTTCCTAACAAAAACTCAATCTGTAACGAGATGTTCAAACTACTGACTTTTAATGATTCTAAAATTCTTGATAATTCAAAAAACTAGTGGTGCATGGCATCGAGCCTTAATGCAAATTGCTGGAACTTTCCGTAAATATCCGAGGAAAACTATCAGTAATCAATAAATATTGATCAATGATTAATAACCATTGTTTTAAAAAATTTCAAATAGATAATTATAATCACTATATATTTCTCGTGACGATCTTATCGTTCAAAACACTTGAGAAGGTTTACATTAGCAAGAGGTGCCGAATAAATCCATCTGAGGATATATTTTTTACGATTATACATTATATACATTTATGACGATATATACATTTCCAAACTGATTTGTAAATTTAAAATTCATATTTGAAGTATAATACTTTGTATATTTTTGAAAATTTTGAAATTTGCTTGAACCTTATAAGTAAACTTTAGAAATTAACAATCTTTGTACAGAACCCAACGAAATTACTACTCATTTTTTAAATTTTTATTAAATATCCGATAATTTGATGTGCTAATGATCATTTTTGAACGCCAAACACCTTTTTTTTACTTCTCTATCTCCGATACTGCTAGACCTGCCTCACCAACAATTTTATTAATTTTTCATTTCGTCAATATAAGTAAAATGTTTTTGGAATCATTCGGGTACTCCGTTCTCTCAAAAACTGAATTATGGTTTTTGGCGCTTTTTGCCGCGTATCTTCGAAACGGCTGGACCTATCTTCACCAGAAACTAATCAGCAGATCTTCTCATCAATAGGTTACGAATGATTTTGGAATCATTCAAATCGGTTGATTCGTGCGCCCGAAATCGTGGACGAAAAATTGTATTCAAACATACACACACATCCATTTTTTCTAAGGTATGACAAAATGTTCAGAAACCTTCAAAACGTGAAGATATACAAAAATTTTCATTGTGGATTTTTTTGCGATTACTATCTTACCTTAAGGAAAGTTAACAATTGAACTAATAAATGTATATTTAAGTTATATTGAACCGAATAAGTAAGGCAAATATAGTTGAAACAAATGTTAAGTTGTACATCGAAAAATATACAAATTCCGATAATTTATTACTGGAATATTGAATTGGACTGAATGGTGCACCATTATTATCTTATTTCCATTTGAAAGTTAAAAGAAAAATAAATTAGTTCAAGCACCAAAATTTTTATAAGGTATGAAATAAAACTAAATTGAACGAAAAACTATTCCACATCAATCTTAAACACTAATGAAATAGTATTGCATTTAACAATCACTGTATATGCAGAATATTCCTAATACAATCAGTCATTAAATACAATAACTTTCTACATGTGCATTTAATAATAAACATATATTCAAATTAAAAATATGAGACAAACGCGCAGGAGGTTGTTGATAAAACATTTATTGTAAATGTTTTGGTTCTGCTATATGAATCAGCTTTATGACGCAAAGAAAATTTGGTATTTAAGTCGAAAATTTTGCTAATATACATGAGTAGAGAAATTTTATTTGAACCATTTCACATGCATAATATAAAAGGTGTCGAATTAATTTTAAAAGTGCGTAACAGTTACTGATTCAAGTTGTTTTATCCTGTAAGGTGATCCTTCCTGTAATTATTGTTCTTAGACTCTATATTTTACTTCTATACTGATAAAGGTAATACAAAAATTAGACTAAATTTCAAATTATTAAAAAAAAATAATTAAAAACCAATCTGAAACTATCTTCCCAAACAGATATCAACAGGGTACCAACATGTTAAAGTTGAGCATATAATTCAATGTTACCAACATTTTAAAATAATTCCAAAACACAGAGAACAGGTAAAATAATGGACAAAACATTTAAATCCGTCTTAAATATTTTTTAGCCAATAAAAAATTTACCTTATTTGTAGATTTTAACTACTAAAAAAATCTAGTCAAATGACATTTTTAAGACAATAGTTAAGCATGACTCCAATAGCAGAAACTTCAGGCGTAATAATAGTGACAAATTGTCTCTAACCAAAGTTTTATTTGATTCTGCATTTTCATATTATATAGCATACAGAAATAATGCTCACGCCAATTTTTCAATTTCATAGAATTTACTTACTATTATTTTTTAATTCTTATAAACCTGACAAATCAAAACTACACAATTCACTGACATGCACATAATTTCAAATATACTGTAAAGATAACGAATTTCTTTATCAATATCCTGTCATAACCTATACGTTCTTATCTCGCCTTGTAAATAGATTATTCATAATTTTACGAACATTGCTCTCTAAAATACTATTAATATCTTCTGGGAACAAACGATTGACGCATATTTGAGTTTATAAATATAACAATTTCGGCCAGCTGTCTACTAGGCTGGCCTCTTGTTTCCACACTGCATATTGCTTCTCCTTTACTTGTGCAAGTACGCGAACGCTCAATATATAAATTAAACTAGAATTGTACGGTTTAAATATTCATTTAACACTTTCAACAAGTTATCGATTAGTTTGTATTAAATTAAATTTAAATACTTGCAACGAGTTTTTATAAAAAGTCAATCAATAAATCATGGAAGCTAGTATTAGTGTTAGTGAAACAAGAAAAGTGTGGTTATGAGCGAGTGAATTTGTGTAGAGGTGTTAAATAAAATATTTTCTTGTATTGTATTCAAAAATAAATAAACAACTTAAAGACTGACCTTTGATGGTAAAACATTGTTTGTGTATAAATATGTTCGATTGTAAATTAACTTTTTCCACACATTTTGACATTTCACGACATAGTTTCTTTGTGTTACGGCTCCATTGCCATTGCACGGCCGCCATCTTAGTTTCATAGTAAGCGATTCAAAGTTCATGCGCGCGCGAGATTCAAATATTTGAAATGACTCTATATTGAATAATTTTTATGTATTAATTTACGTAAATTTGCAAGTCGTACGAATTTCCACAGGATAATGGAGTTAAGAACATTGGATTTGGGCCTAAATTCGAAAAACGAATGCAGTGATTCTTGGACTTATAGAGGAGAAGGAAATGCTAATGTTATTCTAGCACTTAATGGACAGAACAAGGTGTTGAGATTGAAGAAATCTTTGAAATCTGATGCACCTGTTTTGCCAAAACTAGGTAAAACTGATGATATACCAGATTTGTTATTTGATAAGAAAGAACTTGTAAATGTACCAAATTTGGTAGAATACAATGGCGAAAATGTGCCAAATAATGCATCACCTGCGTCTTATAACTGTTCTGAACAAAATGTTGTTCAGAACGGATCTTCACATGATATTTCTAATAATGTTGTTCAAGAGTTCATGGGTACAAAATTAGACGAACAGATAAAAATATCCAGATCTATTTTGGAACGATGTGTTTGGGAGTCGCGCTGGTGGAAAACATTCACAAAACTTTTGGGAACTTGTTATACAATAAGGGACAATGAAAAATCGAAATTGTTGATCTCACTAGCTGCAATTTATTGAAACTAAATCAAAAGTTAGATATAATAAGACCTGAATATAGGAGACACAAACTTGTAGCTTCCGAATATGCGGTAATGTTTCCAGATTTTACACTTATGCCGGATACGGATTATTTATGTTATGGAGACACTTTTACGTTCGAATTAAAGCCGAAACACGGCTGGACACCTTATGTAATAAATGAAAACGAAAGTTCAGAATATGCCAAATGTCCATATTGCTTAACGCAATTTCTGAAATTCAAAAAAGGAAAGATCAATAAAATCAGCGGATACTGCCCTTTGGATCTCTTTTCTGGTAACATTCAAAGAATGACCAAAGCTCTCAGAAGTATTATCGAAGTGCCTCAAAATAATTTTAAAGTATTTCGTAATGGTCATGCTGTGGATCGTAGTGATTTGAAAATGCTTTTAGAAGACTTATTTCAAACAAATCTTACTACTGATAATGCAGACAAAAACATGGTTAAAGAATATTCCCAAATCTTAAAGGAGGATGTTGATGGACAACTTATGCAAAAAACCAACTACGATTGCAGTGACGATTCGGAACAAGTAGACTATTCACAGTATAATACAAATAACATTGGTGATACATTAAAAAATTATGTTCACGAATCTCAGTCCAATTCCCACAAGAAACTAAAAACATCACATTGTTCAGATTCTGGATATTCCGAACAAATTAATTTTAAGCCACCGTTTAATGTATTGAGCGAATTGGCCAGTCTTATATGCGTTACATTATTAAAAAATTTTAATGCAAAAGAAGATGAACTCAATGCAACATGTTTAAACAACCAAACCGTCCATTATGATAGTTCTAAACATAAGTACTTAAGAAAATTACATGAACTTGGTTTAAAAACCTGCCAAAGAAATAATTATCAATCAAATTTACCAAAAGGCTGCATTTTGGAAAGATTATTGAGACTGCAACTTTTGGACTGTGATGTCACTTTAGAAACTCTATCAAAAGGTAAAGGCTATCAATATATTGAAGGAACTTTAAAGGTTTTAGAGGACCCCAAAAGATCCTTGAATGATCTCACGGATCTGGAAAGGTCCATGATGGCAGCTACTGTTAAAGATTGTTCGGTGATGCTGACTTTTAGAAGAATTAAAGATGAAGTAATTTCTAAAAATAATAAAAGTTCTACTAATTTTAAATCCCTTTGCTGTGGCGATAGTTTAAACGGATTTTGCGAAAGCATGCCAGGAGGTGTTCAACTAGATAATTTCGAAAATCAAATTGTAGAACTCAATGGCCAAAGATTTATGGCCAGGGTTTCTGTAATAGATCTAGATCTGAAACCTGAATCTAGAATAGATAATTACTTGAAACATATTCAAGATATGTTTGAAGCAACTTTAGAATTTTTAAATAAACAGAAAAGTGACTCACAAGAACATTAGTAATTGAATGATGAAAAGAAACTGATGTATATCAATATTGATAACAAATTCTCGGATTTTATACTTTACAAGTGAATATTTTATTTATCATGTAAATTATATAAAACTTGTTCTACTGTGAAAATGTTTTTATACGTTGCTGATGAATTAGAAGAAATTAAGGTTTTGTTAAAATAATTGTAAGATAGCGATCAATATTTTATATTTGTTGCATTTAACAAGCTATGTATTTAATACCAAGTATAATAAAATATAAGCAATATTGGTTTTACAAATTTAATTTTAAATATTTTATGTTTATATGCATATTTATTATACACTATTTCAGTAGGCTGCTCTAGTTAAAGTATTCTAGATAAAAATCAAGTCTTGGAAGTTCATTGTTTCACCAGTCTTCAAAAAAAAAAATATATATATATGTTAAATTGATTTTTGGTTCATAATTAACTTAGTACTTAAAACAAGAATTTATTGATATAGAATGTTATATAATAATTCAGAACATTTAACTAATTATAAGAGTCTTTATATGAAAATTCGAAAGAAAACATGTAAATGTGGACATCTATTCTAATTTCAAAACTAGTGGTGTTTGGCATCGTGCCTTCAGGTAAATTGCTGGAACTTCCGTACCCTAATGGAGTTCGAGGAATATTAAATATTTTCAAATAAATTATCATGATTATTTGACGTATAATAAGTGATGTCTAGAACTTTAGCTAGAAATAGAATTAAAATCCGAATTATTTTTCGATATTCAATTTAAAAAAAATGCTTTACCCAAAAGCAATCGACACAAGCTGAAGGTTAATTAAGTCATTCAAATCATATGCTTTGTTCCCTCAAAAACTGCAATTTTTGCACATTTAGCTTTGTATCTCCGAAACGGCTGAACCTGCCTTTGCCAAAATCTAATCACCACTTCTCCCGCTCATTACGAATCAAATGTTTTCTAGATCATTGAAATCGGTTGATCCGTTAAAAACTGACATTTTTAGCACTTTTTGCTCCATATCTCCAAACCCGCTGGAACTGCCTTTGCCAAAAATTAATCAGTTTATCTCCATATCAATAGAAATCGACTGCTTTTTGAATTTTTCAAACCGGTACATCGACAAAAAGTTGTCTCCACACATACACACATACGCACATATATTTTTTCTGAGGTATGCTGAAATGTTCAAAAATCTCTGAAACGTGAAGTTATGCAAAAATTTTCATTATCGTTTTTGGCCTATTACTATAACTTACCCTTCGGGAAGTACATATCACTAATCCTTGCAATATTTGATAAACTTTCTCAGTCAATTTTAATATTCAATTTTTTATTAGTATTTACAACAATTTTTTGGTAGTTAACTAACCAGAAATTTTAGGCACTATCTTTGTTTGCATTAAGTTTAAATCATCTAGTAATTTATATTGATCAGCTAACGATTTTATATTTTTGATGGAATTCAGATATTGTATTAAAAAACTTGCTATCAAATATTTCTATTTCCTATGATCAAGTTTAAGAATCTTTGGTCCAATATTCAATTATAAATGACGTTGATTATTTATCACCGGTAGTTCTAGATCATTCTCTAAATGTGAGTTGAATAATACATGAAATAATTATATTATTTATTTAAGCAATCATACATCAGATTATCTGCAGTCGGTGCAGTTAATGGCACAGTCTTTGTTACAATAATTCTAAATTAATCTATGTCCTTGATATTTATGGAAGCAAATGCACTTAACACATATTGCCGAGCATTAGTAATCAAGCTGCCTTATGAAAGGAAAGAAGGATTGTTGGGAAAATTGTAGGAATGGAAAAAATTTAACATACAATTGCGTAAATGGAGTAAGTTGAAGGATATTCTTGTGAAAGGATGTTCGTCATATATTGCACTTGAACTATTAGGTTCTATACAGTATTACTCATTGAAGTGAAAGAATTACATGGTTTGTTGCAAACTCTTCTTATAACTGAAACTCATGTATCATATTTAATACTGATATATTTTTCTGGAATCTATAATATGACAAAACAATAGGCCTTGAAAATATTACCCTGTTATAATTTGATGATCACCCATACACAGCATCTTTTTATTAAAAACAAAAAAATTATAAAAACTAGTGTTGTTTGGCATCGTAAGGCAAATAAAAACCCTTAAGGCAAATTGCTAGAACTTCCCGTACCAAAAACTAAATTATTAAAAAAAACTTTGCAAAACTTTTATAAAATTGGGTTTTTGAGAAATTTTGAAATTTTTGAAAAAGTCAATTTTGAAAAAAATGATTTGATTTATATTTTGATTTTTTTGAAAATTCTGAACATTTTTTTTAAGCAATCGCGCTGCATAGCTGATTTTGAATCAAAATATAAAAGCGCATAAGCGCCGCGTAGTAGTCAAACGTGTAAACATGGGTATGAAACCCATACATATATACACAAAATTTGTACTTATTATTATAATCTTTATGAAATATCTGATAATACGATATACATATGTCTAATAATCATTTTTGACCACAAAATAGCAGATTCTTTAACTTTTTTTATTGGATCTCCGGAGACGGCAGGCCTGCCTTCACAAAAATTTTACTAGTTGTTCATTCCGTCAATACAAGTAAAATGTTTTTTAAATTATTTAAATTGTACTCACCGTTACCTCAAAACTGAAAACCATTTTTGCAACATAATGCCCCGTATCTCCGAAACGGCTAGACCTGCTTTTGCAAAAAACTAATCAGCACGTCTACTTATCAGCAGGAATCGAATGCTTTTTGAATTATTCAAATCGGTTGATCTGTGTTCGCAAAATCGTCGATGAAAATTTGTATCCGCACACACACATACATCCATTTTTTCTAAGGTATGCCAAAATGTTCAGAAACTCCTGAAACGTAGAGATATATAAAAAAAAGGGAATTTAATAATATTTGTTGAAAAAAATAGGTAAAATTCAAAATTTTATTTATACATTAATTAGAAACAATAATTGCAGACTACGAAACAAATATATAAGGAATATTTAGGGATACTTGTTTTTGTTCATATTACAAACATTAGTGTTATTTTACAGAACAAAAAAATTTCTATGATACCTATATTTTTCAGACCGGCCATAGAATATATAATTTTTTATCATGCTGTTAACGATAAACGTTAATTTAATTAAAATTAATTTTCGCAATAATATTATTAAGAAGACACAAAAAAATTGCAGCAAATTTTGCTTGCAGAGCTCTAGGACAAAATTGTTTTCTTATACCTTCTATAAATCATACCATATTCTATAAATTATTTTAATAATTTTTAAATAGCCATTGTTTATAATTCGAAAATAATCTTTACAGTTATGATAAACTGCTTTGATTTGTTAAATTATTTCTGTTTCTCTATTTAAAATCATTTGTCGTTTGAAGAAATGTTGGGCACTTTGATCTTAAATTATAAATTTTTATTGGTACAGAAAATTATAATTTTTTATTAAATTCTGATTTTTTATTCGAAATGCGAAGTTTATACTACACTTGTTGTATATTATTTGACTGATTCATTAAGATAACAGAATGTATGTTTATTTAAAAATTATTCTCCCAAATGAGTGAAGCAAATATTTGTATTGCATATACAAATTAACGGTGACATCAATACAAACTTTTGTTTATGAATTTCACATTTGTTCTTAAATGTATCAATATTAATGTGATTAAACATATACAGTTATCCTCATGAATAAAACCGAATGTGAATATTAATAAAATATTTTTATAACACTTTTACATATTTAGCTTCACCATAGCTTAATTTTTTTAACGAGATTTGAAATTAATATAATTTTAAATAATAAAAATAATCTATACTGAAAAGTATATTAGGATATATTTTGAGTTAGTCCCAAAATTCTACTTATTTCTTGAGTTGCACTTTCTTACTTCTGAAGTGTTACATTGTTTTGGTATATCCTCAGGTGAAAAGTTTCAATTTTTTTATTATTATTTAAACTAATGAAAATATGTTATTTGTTCAGACAGGAATTGCTATTAAGTCTAATTTAAATTGGTTGTATATCTTTAAAAATGCAAATTAGTTTATAACATAATTTATTATGCAAATCTACACAAGTCGTTTGGGAGACAATGATATCTAGACATATTTTTAGCTAAATATGGATAAGTCGAAAACATTGTATTTGTTCTTACAACTTCGCACATCTTTTGCTAGTAAACAAGACCATCTTCCAATGGTCCATGATAATCCAGTCTTTTATTTTTTTTTTAGAAAAGTTGTAGAAAAGTTCGATTTCTACTGCAATCTTCTAACAATGACAATTTACTAGGTGTTATACGACCTCTGATCACATTATATTGAGCTACTCATTCCATGAATTTCATATATCGTAATTTATGTACCTAACACAATATATAAATAAATATTGATTTTCCTTATCACATTTTTGTTTGAAGTTTTTCTAAACATCGGTGAAACAGCTACTGTATTTGTAGCTTAGTTCGATATTGGTTTTGAACGAATAGGTACTCCGGTGGATTAATTTTAATTAATAAAGTGTTAGGTCAAAAAAAATTAAATTTAATCTGAAAGAGCTTTATCAACAGTTATTTTCTTTTAAATATTCGGTTTTGAGTTCATAATGAGAATTTATTTTGTAATCAGAGCTATGAAAAAATAGAGTATTTCCTGGCCTAGTTTTCAATCACTTAAATCGGCTACTTTTGATAAGAATGATACATACATACTTTAAAACATTAAAAATCCTCAAAAACAAATATTAGAGTTCAAGTCTCGGAGGAACTTTGGCTCCTATTATCTATAGAAGACAATAGGACGTATAATATTGTGTATGATCAAGAAATTACTCAATACGTGCTAATTTTTAAAATCCTGGGCCGTTTGTTAATTTTTGTTGTTAATATTAGACTGTTATAAGTGGTGACACACGTAGAGTGAACATAAAATACTGAATGTGTAATATCATAAA